CCCTACAGCCGTCTAATATCCTCGGATTCGGGCAAAAAGAGGGTGGTCGACAAGCTTGCGAGTTGCATATTTGCCGCGAACAACGTATCTTTTTCACGCGAGCGAGCTGGCTAGTGGAAGCGTGTCGCGACGAGTGGCAAAGGATTTCGTGTGACTTACTGCTGCACATGCCGCCGGTGCAATTCGCCACGCTGATGTCTCGCCCCTGGCAAGGCCGTCCACCGTGGCTGGGCGGTGGTTCGTCGCAGGATCTTCTTCTGGTGTGCGTACAATCGGTGCCGCACACCGACCATGCCGACCATCTGGACCATCCTCCGTCCACCACTGTCCCCGGGAAAAAAAAAACAGACGAACGGTTCGAAGGATCGTCTTTCTTTCGCGGGGTCGTTAAGGGGACTCGGATCGACGTAAAGCGACGGTAAAAAGCGACGTGGAAACGGGACGGCCGACTCGTAACTCGTCCGTATCCCCACGAGTCTTGTTCGAAAGCCATACTCGTCAATTCGGTCGCGAGAGCTCGCTTCCTTTCCGTTTAATTGACTCGTACGGTCCGTGGAAAAAAGCGGACCCCGTTGTGTATGCGTTTAATCTTCGGCCATGATTCGACTCGTTGCGACACGATACTTACAAATGGTTCTTTCCCCCTTTGCGTATCTTTTTTCCCCCGACGTTTAACCGGGGTACTACTCGGGACCCTTTCGTTTCATTTTCCTTTATTTATTTACTTTCCCTTTTTTCCATTTCTCGTATCTGGTCGTTGGTTATGTGTTCTTTATTTTTTTTTCTCCCCCCCCCCCCCCTTTTTTTCGAGCGAATTTACGAGAGGACACTTACCTAGAGTGTTGGTGAACTCCTCCAGAGTGCCAGCTATTCCGAAGCGAGCGTTAGACAGAAAGACGTATAGGTGCATTATCGAAAGCGTACAGACAATTCGTGAGTAACACATGCGCACACGTAAACGACGGTAAATGGTACTATAGACTTTGGGATTAGCCGCTTGTCTCGTGCTCCTCGCTTTTAACGATGCATATATACCCGCGTGGACGTCCACCTTCTTCATTATCAATTACTTTCCATTTGCATTCACGACTCCACCTTCGTCCACAATACCGTTCGAAACGGCTAACCATATCAAAATTCCGCGAATGCAACGCGTCACCGCGAGCCACGAGACAAGGGGTTAATATTTCACTCGTCGATTCTCCTCGATTCCCCGCCGTTTCCCGTGGACGTTGCCCCCGACGATTTTCAATACGCTCCGCGCGCCGCGATCGTGCGCGTGCAGGTGTCCTCGGGATGTCGCGAGCGTTTTCGAAAGGTGAATACGATTTAAGAGAGCCGAGAGCCGCCTCCCGTAGAGACACGGCGACATTGACCCGCGCGGGGGAAAGAGGGAAGCCCGTAAATCAAACGAGAGAGCCTCTCCTCTCCTCGGCATCGGTAATATCGGTCCGTCGCGGCGGAGAACCTGCTTGCGCTCGTCGTTTCCCGGCGACGCGACTCACAATCGGAACGAGGAGAAGACGATCGCTCCGCTCGCTCGTTCGCCCGCCACCGGATAGGAATAGCCGAGCAGCAGCAGCCCGATATCGGAATCCGGCAAGAAATCTCTGTCCGGCCGTGGAACCGAACGGCGTATCGACCTTAACGAACCGTCACATGCTTCCTTGAAAATCCCCTGCCACCCCCCCGGGGGTAACGAATCCGCGAGACACTTACCGGGACAGGCGATGTTGCAGTCCATCTTCTGCTGGGACGGGCCCATGCACTGCTGACCCTTGTTCATGGGGGCGGGATTCGTGCACGTTCGAGTTCGTTTCTGGCCACCTTTCGCGCATCTCGAGTGGCATTCCGACCATGCTGACCACGAGGACCATCCTCCGTTCACTGCAACCAAAGTCCAATTGGCGTTTCGATTTTGGGACTTATTATACGCTTTGCGCTATTTCCGCGTCTAGGGGATCCAATATACATGTTTCGCTTTGCACTCGCGACAGTCGCGCGAATAATCACGCTAGCATGCTAGGATACTGGTCGATTCGATAGACGTCGCGAATATTTAGTCTCCGTAGAATATCATCGCTGTAGCGTATAGGATTTTAACACCGTTTGCCTTCGTTACGCCAATGTGTACCATCGGTAGCTCAGAATTAAATGTCACGTCTATGCTTGTGAATCTGTATATTTGTTCAAACGAATGGAAATGAAGGAACAGCAGAAAGGGACTCACCGTAAACCGTCAGGCTGATAGGTTCGCTGAGTCTCTTGGCCGCGATGTTCTCCGCGACGCAAGTGTAGTTGGCCTGATGGCTCAGCTTCGCCTGGCCCACCAGAAGGTGTCCCTCGCTAGACACTAAAAGCGTGTCCGTCTCCTTGTCGACAGGGACGTTGTTTCTTAGCCAGTACACCCTCGGAGGTGGCACTCCCACGGGAGGATGACACCTGATTTCGGTACCGTGTCCTGCCTCCACCGACACGGAGTACGGTGGCGATTCGAATTGCTTCTTCAGATCTGGGAAAATGCAATTTCTAGCTCTTTGAAACGGAACGCGAACGGACGAACGTATTTCGCGGAGAAAATAGGAACTCCTCCCCGGTTCGAGGAACTATAATAGGTATAACGGGGATGAAGAATGTTTAGAATCCAGTGATATCGGTAAGATCCCGTGAGAAAGGTAAGGAACTATTAGTCTGTTAGACATATAGAATGTACAAGCGCGTTTAATCGTAGATGAAACTAGCAAATCGAAGGGAAGATATCGACGTGTCTAAGCCATTTCGCGGAGCAAAAGTTTTTGTTCCAACGAGAGTTACGTAAGCGCAAAGCACCGGACAAACGGTCCTTTCCTAAATTGATTCTCTTAGAAACTCCATGGTTGCCGGTCATTGTGTTGCCTCGCATTAAGGGTCGGAATTAAATAATGACCTCGCTTAGGAGAATCAAGATAATTACGAGGGGCCAGAAGTAAGACGAAAGTCGTGGCTGCCCGACTGCGGGGCAAGCGACTGTCTACGGCCAAATATTTATTGGCAAAGTTCTCGGAAGAATAGAGACATCTCGCGTTGGGCTGAAACTTCTGCGCAGATCGGGAATAATTACAGCGTCTCGCGCGTGATTACTATCATAATTCACTCGCGTATCGGAAATTTTTCTTCGTTCCAGAAATTACTCTTTGCTCCACGATTGATCACGCGAGAAATTAGAGTACAGTCTTTAGAGAGATCTCGAGAGATATCGTTTGTCTACTTACAAGCAACGTCGATGGTCGCGGGTTGGCTCTTGATCTGCCCCGAGCCAGACCAGGCTATACATTCGCATTTGAACTTATCCCTGCCGAAGTACTCCTCGATATGGTCTCTGGTTATGTTCAGTTCGCAATCGACAATCCTGGTGCCCGTGTGCGGGTCCACGAAGTCCTGTTGCTGCGAATCCTCCGCCCTCGCGTCGTTGCACCGGAAGTAGATCTGCAACGCGTGTGCGGCCTTGCAATGCAACGTGGCCGGCTTGTTCTTCACGACGTACGAATCGACCGGTTCGGTGAGAAATACGGGCAAATGGCCGCCCGCCTCGGAGATTAGCTCCGTGTCAGTGGCGATCGTCGCAGAGGGCACATCGTCTTCCTCCAGGAGATAGGAATCCTCGTCCTCCGCGGCATCCTCCCCTTCTGAAAGCAAATCAAAATCGTTTCCTGTCATTTTCGCGTGCATTTCTTTTTATTTCGATTTATTTGGAAATATCGTATTTCCGAAAGCTCAATTTCCAATTCGATTGAAACTCGACTCCATGGTTTATTTTGGGATATTCCTGTTAGGAACGTGGAGTATTCTAGGAATTAGGATATTTCAGTTATTTTGGTTTATTTCGTATTATTTTCTTCCTCGTCGCTTCTATTACCGATATTTTCGTCGGTGCTAAAACTTTTCTTGGTACTTTCTGTCTCTTTATTGCTCCATTTTCTGACGTTTATGACCTAACTCGTCATCGACTATTCGGGCCCCATAGCTTATTTTTGGGTGTTCCTCTTGGGTGTCCTAGGATTTTATGATATTCCAGGAATTCGAAACTCATATTGGCTTCTTTCGTAATATGGTTGTTGCTCGTTTTCTCTCTGTCTGTTAATGATCCAATTTTTTCTTTACTCTCGACTCGGTTTATTGCTCCATTTTCTGACGTTTATGAGCTATTCGTCATCCACCACTCGCACTCGAGACGTCGCTTCTTTAATAACGTACGTCGTAGATGTATACCACGGTAGAACATCTGTTAATAGCAGATTTCGATCCGCCTACGCGATCTACGCGAATCACCGGGTACCGAGTCAGCCGATCTTTCCGATATTAATTCGATATAAGCATCCGTCTATCGCGGCGCAATCCTGATCAGGATTCCGGATCGGATTAAAAATCGGACGAACGATAACGGCTGGAACCCGGCGGATCAGTGGAAACAAACGGCTCTGCTTATTATCGGTTCGTGATAAATTCATAGAATTGGATTATCATCATTAACGCGCGGCAGGAATAGGGAGGGGAGGGCCTGGCAATCAGGCAGGATCAGGCTGGAAGCGCAGTCAGTCATTTGAATTCTAAATACACGGACCCTGCCCCCACCTCATGCGCCACCCTCTCGGCCGTAATCGTAATTTACGATCGAGTTATTAATTCGCGCGGACGTTATTCACCGGCCTCGGGGCTTGTTTCATCGGAATCGTGAAAATTCTATATTTGCTTGTCAACAATGGCCAGCGCCGGTTTCCCTCCCCTTGTAAATCCTCACGCCGGCCCATTAATGCCGGCGTCTCGCTCGCCGGTCCGCACGCGTCCAGCCCGCGAACAATCGGCCCGCTTGCACGCGCTCGCCCGCCTCGCGTCGCGCGAGCCTGCAGTAATGAATTTTCGGATTTACGCGGCGCACCGGTGCACAAGTCCGATGCATTTCCCGCCAACCAGCGGTTAGACCTTTATCCCCGTGCGACATTTGGCCGGGGGCCACAATTTTCATCGCGATAATCGTCGCCGTTCTGTATCGGACCCAGTCTCGCGCCACTTCCACGAGCAAGGGCAAGCGGAAAAATGAAATCGCGACTCTCGTTTCGGGGTTGCGCAACGGGGGTAACCGAGAGTCCGTATTTTCCCTTTCTTGCGAATATACCGCTGATACAGAGAGCTCGGATATCACGCGACGGTTAACAAGGGATACGTTAAATTTTAGGTCCAGAAGGGGTCCGGAAAATAGAATTTACCGTCGGGATGATAGTTGTGGAAATATTTGTTCAGAGAAGAAATTAACGAGCTTTCCTACTGGATTGTATTTCATTTCCGATTATACTATAGACGCACTGTTATTCTGCTGGGAATACGAGATATTATAATGTGGATATTTCAGTTGGAAAAATAGAAGCGAGTATGATCGAGACACGACCACCAGTTGTAGATCACAGGTCTACCCCGTATATTATACATCCTCTGTCATTCTTGTCTCTTGCTCTTGTTTTTCGTTCTTCCGCTTTTATTTTACCCGCGTCGATCGCGAACGATTCTCGCGATCTGCCCAGGAAATACCGCAAGTATCCAACTCGATCATTTCGAACTCGAGTATCGGCGTGAAGATTCGCGTGCACGTCGATCCGACACCGCGATCGACAAACGTCACAACCGGGGTTTGTCGCGGCAGCTTTTTATCGTTGTCGTTGCTCGTTATTTTTTCACGCGGTACAGGGGAAGCAACCGGCTATGCGGACGAATCGAAAAACGGGGGAACAAAAATCCGCTTCTCGCGGCGAAAAAAATTGTCAGAATTTATACCCGATGGCGGGCAGATACCTTCAATATCCTGCCCGCGGAGATAGGAATCGAGCAACGGGCAAATGAGAAGCGTCGGCAGACGAACGAACGAACGAACCCGAAAAGAGGAAAGAGAAATATAGAGACACGCGGGCACACGCATATATGCGCGCGAGAGAACGAGAAAGAATAATGGTGGGAGAGAAAGTTTTCGGCAACGTGACGTACCGTGGCGAATCGAGGCGCGGCTAAAAGAGAATTTTCATCGGTTTTCGATAATGGGTCTCGATCGACTGGCCGATGGGATGCAGCGGAATCGCGCCACGACCAGTTTTCCCTCGCACGCGAATCGTTTCGTACGCGAATCGTCGTTTGCCACTTTGGCCCACCGCGACGAGTCGTATCGACACCACCGTCTGACAACGTGGATTTTCCGCGGGTTAGGTCGATTAAAACGAATATCGTGCACCCTGGGATTCGTCCGTCCAGCGTGTTTTCTTTTCGCGCTCGAACCACCCCTTTCATCCCTCTCCGGGCCCTCGCGAGAGCTAACGCGTTCCTGCCGAGTCCGACGAATCGACACAGGCGAAAATCGGGCGCCTCCTAACCACAAAGCGCGCTCCACCTGTGGGAATCTCCGTTACAAAGTAAACCGTGCGCCTTTTCATCCCCTTTCTTCGTTCATTACGAGACCCTGGGACACCGATTTCCGACGGAGTCGATTAAAACGTACGACCACCGTCGCGCGTCTATCCATCAATCCGCGGTGTTTTCTTTTCGCGCCTTCCATCTCCTCTCCTCTTTCAACCGACTCGGTCAATGTGTGCGAACGTTCGCAAACACGCGATCGTGGATCGGAGCGTGACGATGGAGAGGAAAGGAGAGAGAACGGGAGAAAGAAGAGCAGAGGACTCGATGGAGCGAAACGAAGAGGAGACGAACAGTCGGCGAAAAAGGATTTCCATCGATTTCCGATAATTCCGCTGATCGGTTGGCCGATAAAGTTTCGCGGAATCGTTCCCGTCTAATTCCTCCGGACGAGTTCCTATAAATTCCTGATGGCCATTTCGCGCACAACCCGATCTCTTCCCCGCCTTCCCGTGTCTTTGATTGCACCTACACGCTCGCCCGTACCACGCTAATTCGCGCCAACCCCCGACTCGCCGGCTACGACTGGCTGCAACCCCCGAGGGCCGATTCTTTTTGCCTCGACATCGCGAGAGGCTACAAGAGAAAAATAGAGCAACCAGATGAACGCTTAATCGAGCGATATAACTCGCGCGCGAGCTCGAGAAAAAGAGAAACTTGGCTCGATCGCGTGGGGCTGCTGCTGCTCGTAGGGGGTTGCAAACGGAAGAACCGGCACCGCGCGTTTTGCCTCCATTGCGTGGATTATTCTTCGTGATTCCCCTTGGTTATTTACCCGCGGATAGTAATTCTTTGATAGATGAAGTTTTAAGCTTACGCCGTGGATCAGGCGAAAGGTGGGTTAAGCTCGGGCAATTTAAAATTATCGATCCGGCCTCTGGGTTCTTTTCGCGCGTATTTTATGGAACGCGAGCTGTACTTTCCGTAGAAAGTGAACGGAGTCTCGCAACAAATTTTCCGAATGTAGCACGATATCTCCTCTCTAATTCCCTACCCTAAATTACCGAGTCCCGTATTTTCCGATTGCGTCGAGACCCGAGATACCGAGATTACCTGGAAACACTCGAGAGACTGCCGTAATTATTTAACAGGGACAACATCCGATACGTCTCCGTTGTCCACCGGTATCCGCACGCGTAAACCATTCTCTACCCACTGTAACGCGACACACACCTCTACCAGAACGCTATCCCGTAGCATCTACGCCAAGAACAAGACACCGAACACCAACCCCGAAACCTCGATCCTCCCCTGTCCCTGTCTACTCCGGCCGAGCCCGACCACCTCGGGTAATCTCCGATCTATCACCGAATCAGCCGCACCTCCCGGACAAGCCGACCTCTGTCGAACTCTCTTTCCATCGCGCCGCGGTAATTGCTCGTGGCGAATACCCGGTCTAAACAACCCTGCTGCTGTTGCTGCTGCTGCCGCTGCTGCTACTCCCCGACGAAGAAAAAGGGGAACGAAAAAAGGGCAGGAGTTGCGGGTGTGACGGGGTGGGAGTGGGTTGCGAACTTAATTGAGCAACGTCACGCGACACGCGAGCTGCCGTGGTTCCTAGGGAAAAAGCTCATCGGTTTCCGATAATTCGGAACGGAACGGGTGTATCCGGTGGCCGGCATCGAATCAGCCGCCACGAGATCTGCGCGCGAGGCCTCTCGTTAGCCGGTGTAGCCGGATGGTTAGTCGTGTCTCCTGCCTGGATACGAGTTCCCTCTTGTGTTCGTGCGTACGTGTGTCCGTGCGTGCATGAGCTCCGCGTACACACACACGTGCACATGGGGTATCTCGCGTGGCTACTATGTGGGTTGACCACGTATTACGCCGACCAGGGACACGAGCGCGAGCGTGTACAGTTTCAGCGTGTACCTACGGCCGAGGGACCACACATGACGCCTCTTAATTAACAAAGGTACCTGCAGCACGGCCGCTCTTGCTGGCCATGCGAGTCCACGGAACGTGCGCGTTCCAGAGAGAGAGAGAGAGAGAGAGAGACGAAGATGCAGATCGGAGAGAACGTGCTTGACCGTGGACGCGGAAGATGGACGAAAGATGAAGGAAAAGTAGCGCGGATGAGACGATGGGGTGTAGGAGAGCGTGGAGGACGCGTATTTTTGTTGGGCCTCCGATGTAAAGTACGGTTCTGGGTTAGGTGAGGCGTTGGTGTCAGGAGGGGTGTTAGGTCCGGGTTATTTATGGCGGTGAAAGTGGCGAACAATGAGGACTTGAACGG